ATATTTTTAACATATACATATATAATTTATAATATAAACATCTTGATTTTAACATATATTTGTATATATATATAGCATATCTATAATAAACATCTTGAGGCTGGAATTATGAAGATAAATCGAGGAGCGAGGTGTCTCACGCTAAGTCCACATATGTTAATGCCTTAGGAGCCTCAGGGTTATATGGATCCTAATATCTTGGATTTATTGGGCCAGGGTTTCTCAATCACGTTCCTACACAAACCCCTTGTAAACCAGGAATTAGAGTACTACGATGTACTACGATTATGATGACCCGATTTTCGTATATACATGTACATTGATAGGCTTATTTGCTATCCTACAACTATCAATCTGCCGCTATATGATTCTACGAACATGTAAACACAGAGTACCCACCCACCCTAAACCCTGAACTCTAAACCCTAAACCCTAACCAAGAAGTCCTGGGGGTTAAACTGCGAGACCCTTCGCGGGATGCGCGCTGCAACCACGGAGACCACGGCCAACGCTTCAGGGGCCTTCTCGTGCCTAGGTTGCTGTTACCATAGAGGCTTTCATAACTACCTAGAGGGTTCCTTACAGAAAGTATAGTATCATATACTCCGAAACCCTATTCTAATTACTAAGGCCATACATTACATTGAGGATTCAGGGTCTACAGGGCTTAGGGATTGGAGTTTAGGGTTTCGCGCTTGGGATTTATAGGGTTCGGGGTTAAGAATCTAACTAGCCGCCTCCATCCCCTCCTCACCGAAACCCTAAACCCTAAACCCTAAACCCTGAAATAAACAGAAGCATCCTTTGGCGTGGGTAACACTTAAGAGGACTTCGAGGAGCCTTACCTTGAACTTCCAATTTAGGGTTTAGGGTTTAGGGTTTAGGGTCAACACCTACTTTGTCCAGGGTCCCCGTAAATTCTAGATCATGGCTCATAACTAGTTTAAGCTAACCGTAGACTCCGACATTCCCCTGGAGAAAGGATGCTGGTACGTAACCGTTTTCGTTTAGAAGCCGGGGGAAAGGGCCCAAAAACCAAAACTCACAACGCACACTGCACACGCTGAGCTTGCGCCCCTCCTTGAAGGAAAGCAACAACTAGTTTTTGGGACCTCCCCTGTAAAGAAAACGGAACCCAAATCAAATCCGAAGCGCAAACACGCTAAACATAAGCAACGACAGCACTTATTTAAAGATACTTCCACAAACGTAGTATAGAGTTCTGACAGATGGGTAGCAACATCCCCACGTTTACCTAAGTACGTTGTTCTCGGTAAATCACCACGCAATCTCATGTCTTTAACTTATTCGGACAGCTAAACTTACTTCCCCAATAAACCCAGGGAAATACAAAGTTAAACTTTCAGATTCCTACTAAATTATAAGAACCCAGAAAGTTTGAAGGTTGGGCATTGGGGGACTAAAAAAAGTGTTTTATAAGCCTAAATCCTGACCCAGTTGCAAATTGGCCACACTCCAGAGGATGTTTGCCAAAGCCTGCGTTGAAAGAACAATCACACAACAGTGTAAACTCTCTCTCTCTCTATATATATATATGTATACACATGTGTATATATATATATATGTATATATACATGTGCATATATGTATGTATGTATGTATATATATATATATACATATATACATGTATATATATATATATATACACATGTATGTGTATATATATATATGTGTGTATATAAGACCTCATCGCAGGAGCCTGTTGCAGCGGTATCAAACACTACCAAAAACCTTGATCTATCCCGACAAAAGTATTACCCTTGTCAACCCTGCGAAACCCTGCAGCACCCGTTCTCAAGCCATTTACAACCCCATGGAACGCCACAGATCCTAAAGCCTAAACCCTAAACCCGAAACCCGAAACCCTAAACCCTAAACCCTAAAGCCTAAACCCTAAACCCTAAACCCCGAGCCCAGATGGCCTGTGGAACGAACTCGGAGACATGGCGCGGAATGTGTGCAGCCAGGGCAGGCACCTTACTTAGGCTTTAGGGTTTAGGGAGTACGGTTTAGGGTTTAGGGGTTTAGGGTTTAGGGTTTAGGGTTTAGGGGTTTAGGATTTAGGGTTTAGGGTTTAGGGTCTACTTGGAGGTCCAGGGGAAATAGTAAGTCGCTTAGAAGTGCGATTATAATTGGGGGAACTCCAGTTGGGGTACTTACAACTCTACTTAGAACCTACTTACTAAGTCCCCTGGGCCTCCAAGTAAGGTTTAGGGATTAGGGTTTAGGGTCTAGGCTATGAGGGTGTAGGCCTTTAGGGTTCAGGGTTGGGGGTTGCGTTAAGGGTTTCCATAAGGGTGCCTATATAAGAATACTGTACGGGCTACCACAAGGGCAGCGTAGGATTTTAGCTGCTCGATGTTGCTGCTCCAAGAAGGGCTCAGAGGTATAGTTAGGGACAAGGAACAATACGAATTGCTCAGCTCCTATATTTCGGCATTTCTATTATGTTCCCTAAACCCTAAACCCTAAACCCTAAACCCTAAAGCCTAAACTGTTTTTTGATGCAGTTCATACCCGAAACCTGTATACTGATTTTTCTAGCGTGGCAATACCACCAGCGTCGCAGAATATCAGCCAGCTGCTGAAACTGAAGTGCTACGGCGCAGTTTCAAGGGCGCTCAACCTTAATCCCTAGGCTTCCAGGGACCTTATTCTTAGGTACTTAAGGGGTCTAGGACCCTAACTATAAGGTCCTTGGAACCCTAGGGTAATAGTTTTAGTTTGGGGTTTACCCTAGAAGCAAACGTGAGAATCCCTAAACCCGACACCTAAGCCCTGGTGGAACCCCCCCACACACACAACCCTCAACCGAACACATGTAGAAGCCTTGCTTAGAGGCCCAGGGGAGATAGTAAGTAGGGTATAAATAAAGTTATAAGTACCCCAACTGGAGTTACTCCAA